CTAGGTTCCACATACATGCGTTAATATACAATATTTGTTTTTCTCTCTCTAACTTCACTCTGTATGACAGTCTCTAGATCCATCCACATCTCAACAAATGACTCAATTTTGTTCCTTTTTATGGCTGAGCAATATTCCATTGTATATATGTACCACATCTTCTTTATCCATTCGTCTGTCGATGGGCACTTAGGTTGCTCCCATGACCTGGCTATTGTAGATGGTGCTGCAATGAACATTGGGGTGCATGTGTCTTTTTGAATTATGGTTTTCTCTGGGTATATGCCCAGTGGTGGGATTGCTGGATCATATGGTAATTCTATTTTTAGTTTTTTAAGGAACCTCCATACGGTTCTCCATAGTGGCTGTATCAATTTACATTCCCACCAACAATGCTAGAGGGGTCCCTTTTCTCCACACCCTCTCCAGCATTTGTTGTTTGTAGATTGTCTGATGATGCCCATTCTAACTGGTGTGAAGTGATACCTCATTGTAGTTCTGATTTGCATCTAATAATTAGTGATGTTGAGCAGCTTTTCATGTGCTTCTTGGCCATCTGTATGTCTCCTTTGGAGAAATGTTTATTTAGGTCTTTTGCCCATTTTTGGATTGGGTTGTTTGTTTCTTTAATATTGAGTTGCATGAGCTGTTTATATATTTTGGAGATTAATCCTTTGTCCGTTGATTCATTTGCAAATATTTTCTCCCATTCTGAGGGTTGTCTTTTTGTCTTGTTTATGGTTTCCTTTGCTGTGCAAAAGCTTTTAGGTTTCATTAGGTCCCATTTGTTTACTTTTGTTTTTATTTCCATTACTCTAGGAGGTGGATCAAAAAAGATCTTGCTGTGATTTATGTCAAAGAGTGTTCTTCCTATGTTTTCCTCTAAGAGTTTTATAGTGTCCAGTCTTACATTTACATACCTCTTCTTTTGGTCTTCACTCCTTCTCTGAAAGATTTCACTGTCTTTATTGGACAAATAGCAAGTTGGAAGCCCTAAGTGATGTGTTAAAATTCACACAAATTGTCAACACCAGAACTGGGCTCAGAGCAGGGATGCTCTGATCTCATACAGTGCTTCCTACTGAATCTCTTCAAGGAAGAACTCATTGCTGGCTGTAGATAGTTAAAAGTTAAAGTCAACTTTTAACTATTAATAAGAACACATATTTTGGCAAATTGTGTCACTTCAAAGTCTTACCTGATCCCAACATCAAAAGCTTTAGGAAAATTCTTCAAATACATGATTTTTGTTTTATCCTTTAAAGATTGATATCCCATAAATTTAGCTAAAATATTTTTTGTGTCTAAATGAATTTTTTTAACCATGAGTTCCCCCTTTACTATAGATTCTAGTATAAGTAGATTTTTCATCTGCTTCTATGTTCCTCAACTAGGAGCGTTTTGTGTTCATTGTGTACTAATTTTTACATTTCTCCTCTTGTGGAGCATTAGCAAAAGCAGAAATAAAATATTGGGGAAATAAAAATGAAAGTCAAGAGAACGGAGAGTAAGGATTTTGCAATTCAGCTTTGGGAGAAGTAAAGGAAATTGAATAAAAATAACCCTGAGACTTAGAAATGCTTTGAGGACCTCTCTGAGGTGATGAGTAGGAATATGAGTAGACAGAGGCTTGCAGGGCTGGGGTACTGGGCTCTGTTGCCTTCTGAAATGTGCTGCTTAGCAAAGGAGCTTTAACTGGTAAAAGGAATTTACCAACTCAGTTCTGCCTACTGAATTAAATTGAGGTCATCCAAAGCTTTTTCCATCAAAAGGTACTTTGAATTTCTAAGAGGAATACAGGAAGAATTTAAATAGTATGCCATGATGAGAGTCAAAACTTCATAAAATGTTTGAAATGAATTGAATATATGGACAAGAAATCAAACCCTAGAAAATAAATATGTCCCTTGGGAAAGTCCTCTACTGTGGTCTGTGGACCAGAGCTGATCCCTGAAGGTTTATTATCTGTCTGCTAGGGAAGATTAGACATTGAGAATAAGCTGAAGAAACATGTATAGCAGTTTGGACGTAATTTTATGTCTGTTCCATTTGATGATAAAAATATGGCCATATGTATGTCTTTTGTTTGTATGTTTTATATATTCCTTTGTTTTTTATTTTGTTTCTAGTAATTTATTCTTTATTGTATTTTATAAAAATATCAGTCAAGGATGGATTGGGGAAGAAAAAAATTGACCCTTTTCCATAGACGGTTTGAGAAGTACTGTCTTCAAATGAATGGTTTTTCCTACAAAGTATAGCAAATTTACAACCATTACGTTAAAACAGTGGGGAAAGAAAATATAAAAATTCTACCAAGCAAGAGAAGGTAAATAGAGATTAATTTTACATTTTCCAGTATTCCTATTTTAAGATATGCAAAATGTCCTTGACAATCTTATTAGGTATCATAATGATATCATTATCATCATTATCATAATGATCAGATCATTATCAATGATCATAATCATTGAATTTATCCTTTTTATTTTGATATATACGTAATACACATTTATAAGGGCATTGACAGCTGCATTTATATTTCTGTCTTCTAGTATTAGCTTTACCTTCATATCATGTTATTTTTTTAAACTTTTTTTTTTTCAAAATACTTTTTTGGGAATATGGCCTCTCAGGTAAGAGCAATATAACAGTATTTTATATTTTCAATCTGTACATGTTCTCAAGGTTAGAGGTTCCATACATTAATTACCTATAATGCAGCACATTAAACCTTTTATTTTTCCTGAATATACTTGCTTCAAAAAACATAGTAATGTTTACATTAAAGAACAAATTTCCTTCATCTTTTTCAATGCTCTTAATTCCTGTGGACATTCCTATTTTGCTTCTTGTTAGAAACTTTGAGGGAAGGAGACTTGCTAAATTCTTAAAAAGAAAGACAAATATATGAAAAATGCTCAACCCCACTCTGATAAGATTGCCTAAAATACCTGTATTTTCCAATGTTGGCAGTATTGAAATTAGACTTGAGAAAACAAAACCCTTGCTCCGGCATACCCAGGGTGATGTGCCTACCCAGAACACACACACACACACACACACACACACACACACACACACACACACTCATCTTTTTAGATCATGCTCTGAGCGGGGGGCTCTGGGGTTCCCTCTCCCAAAGGCCGATACCTGCTTCCAAGCCCATGTGGCCATCTTCCCTGTATTTGTAGTTTTGATGGTGACTGTCACTAGTGTGAGTGAGCAAGTGACACAGAGGCTAAGGGGCATCTGTGGGGGAAGTCATGAACAGTGATTTAAAGTGCAGTCTGGGGTGTCCACATGCCTACAAGGTAAAAGATTCAGGTGTGGGGAGAGAAAAAGGGTCCTGACCTTACAATATAGGTATAGAACTGTCTATAGGATTGGAGAATATGAAAGAAAAGCCTTTTCAAAATTCTTGGTGAACTAAACATTGGTACCACGGCTCTTAAAAGACCTAGTAAATCCCTAGTAAAAGTCTTAAATTCACGCCTCCACTTGAGGATTTTATTCCACAGGTATACCCCAAATAACGTGTAAGAAAAATGTCTTTCCCCACTGATTCAAAAAATTATTGAGTATCACCTATGTTCCAGGCACTGTTTTAAGTGCCAGGGATATAGAAGTGAACAACAACAAAACAGTCCCTTTTCTTAAGGAGATTACAGTTTAGTGGGGGAAAGCAGAGTATGAATAAGTTACAAAATAAATGTAATTAGATAATTTTATAATAATATAAAGGAGATAAAAGGGGAACTGGAAGACTATTTAAATAGGGACATTATATGTATATATACAAACATATATATATATATAATCATTAAAATAATGCTATAGTAGCAAAAAATATAGGAAACAAATAAATGTCTATTGATAAGGGATTGGTTGAAAAAAGTAGGGTCTAGCTAGGTAAATGATGTTTACCATATAGCTGTTAAAAAATGTGGTAGAGTTTTCTGCATATGCTGATAAGGCAATATCTCCAACACAGAAAAAAAATCCACAAAATATTGTACATTGTATATTTTGTATAATACACTTCATTTATTTAAAATAAATGCTTGTATACTTATGATTGTATGAAAAATTTCTAGACAGCCAGAGCAACAGCAGTTCACAGTGGTGTCTTTGGCCAAATGCAGTGGAAAGTACATTGTTCATTAAAAACCCTTTGTCCTGTGTTAACTTTTTACTATATGAATTTATTACTTTTTAAACTAATGTCTGTTTTAAAGTCCCAGGTTGGGTTAAGATGGAAGTGCTATAGTGTAGACTGAGTGCAATGGAATTCCAACTGGAGTATGCACCGTGGTTGCAGAAAATAAAATGCTTCCTCTGGGTGAGAAAAGTGTGAACAAGGGAAAGAAACCCAGGCAGTTGATGTCGATGAAACTTCAGTGAATACATTTCCAGAGACACACTTAAAGTGGGGAGAAGCAGCTGAGCTATTTTAAAAATATGAAAATTTGCTGTAGGGTCCAACTTGGAATAAATTAAAATCATCCCAGGTTTCAGGTTGGGAAGCAGGGCTCCTGCAGTGAGAGGTGGAGTATGCTGGTGAGAATGTTTGGCAGCTTCAAGGGGTGTTCACACCGTCTTCTCAACAGGCTGAACGTAAGAGCCTGGAACATAAGACATAACAGAAGCCTTGGTTTCAAGGCGCTGGGCTAAGCCTTCTGAGGCAGCAGCAGGGGAAGGTCTTTGGAATTAAGAGGCAAGAGTCTTGCCACAGCAGCATCCAAAGACAAGGCTGCGGAGGAAGCCAAGACACTCCCTCTGAAGAGAAAAGGAGAAGGAAGTTAAGCAGAGAAAATGAGAGAAATCAGGATGGAGCCCCAAGTTCAGAATGGAGGATAGAAGACAGGTCTGGAGAGGATCCCTGGGGCTCTGGGAACTTGGACATTTGCTCCTTGGCCTCTGCTGATATCGACAAGAACACATTTTAGAAAGTTGTGATTTAGCACCAGCACGGGAGCTTAAGGTACCTTTTACTTCCTGCAACTCAAGGTTGTTCCACTTTGTCAGTTTGGTTCAGAATAGCCCTTGGATGCTTCTTTAGAGGATTTGGAGCACCTGTACAAGGAGGAAAGAATAAGAAATCTGAAGTCAGACTTTTAAGGGTCAACTATCATTTTCTAGTTCGAGTCCTTGAGCAAGCTAGTTAACCTCTCTAAACCTCAATTTCTTCATCTATAACATGGGATAATAGTACTACTCACCTCATAGGGTGTTATGGTGAGCATGGAATGAGATAATGTACAAAGTGCCCGGGATGTTGAAAATGCTTAATAAATGTGATGATTGATGATGGTGATGAGCTGCTGCTGATATAACAGCATCACACAGATCAGGCAATGTGTGCATGACATTACTGCATTTGACATCAACTTCAAGGTAAAGTCTACTGATCTTTTTCCCTCAGTGATCTGGCAGGAGCAGAACATTCTGAAAGGGGGTGGGGGGCAAGAAGAGGAAGCCAGCTACAGCTCTTGCAACCTAGCCATCTAGCCAGTGGAAACGAGCCATAGAATTATTATTCTTAGCCCTTCATACCCCACCCCACCCTCCATGGTCTTGTATCCTCAGGCTGGGCAATACCTGTTATACAGTAATTCTCATGAATGTGAGGATTTATCTGTAGTTTCATGCATTGTATCCTTATCATCCACAGTTAGAGCAGAAAACTAGCTTTGGGTTTTATCATGATTAGTCTTACTAATTAGGTTTTCTACTTCCCTGTTTCCTGTTTCCCATTTCTTCAGAACTGACACTGGGAATTCTATACCAGGAAGTTGCAGATGTGTTCATATGCCATGAAGTTACAGAAGGGGTTTCCATAGCCCCATGAGCTCAGTAATCTGACTTCCATATATATTGATCCTTACTTTGGACTGGAGGTAATTTAAACGATTCTGCCTGTCTGAGCGTTTCATGAATGCTCTCTTGCTTGGTGTAGTATGAAGGTACTTGGGTAGAGTATTTTCTCATGGTACTTAGTAGTTGGGATAAATTTTTTAGAGATTTTCACTTAATAGTATAATAGTTTTTATAGTATATTAATAGTATATTAGTTTTCTATTGATGCTGTAGCAAACTCCCATGCACTTAGAGGTTTAAAACAATGCAAATTTGTTATCTCAATTTCTGAAGGTCAAATTCTGGGCATAGCAGGGGCCAGCTGGTTCTTTCCTTGGAGTCTCACAAGACTGATAGCAAGGTACCAGCAGGTATCTGCCTTTTGGGAAGATCTGTAGATAAATCCACTTTCAAACACATTCAGGTTGTTGGAAGCATTCAGTTTCATGTGATTATAGGACTGAGGTCCCTATTTCCTTGCCGATTGTTGGCTCAGGGTCATTTCCATTTTTAGAAGTTAACTACATTCTTTGACTCATGGCCCCTTATCACTATGTTCAAAGCCAGCAGTAGTGAATCAAGTCAAGCTGCCAATCTCTCTGACCTCCACTTCTGCCACATCCCTCTGCTTGGTCTTCTGTTTCACAGCTCAAAATTTTTAATTTTGCCAGTTCTCAGTATATTCAAGGTTCAACAAATTAGCAGGAGACTAAAAAAGGGGCAGAACTAGGTTTCAACTCCAACCAAAGGCTAGTAGCTGTCTTACAGGCTGTGTAGAGAAGGACAGCGAGTCTATCATGAAGTTCAGCAAGACCTAACCTGAATGGGATATTTAGTGGTGCCGTCTATGTGGACTTGGTTTGATCTAGAGGTGGTGGATGCAGGGGGAGGTCTCAGCATGTGTGTCATGCATGTGCAGTACGGCATCTAATATGCAACCTATAATATCCATAAATTTCTCTCAATGTTTGACTCAAATGTTTGTCCTCTGAATTCTCTTCTATATTGGAAATTTTTAGAAAATTAAGTCACCATAAGAAGGTTACTCCAGGGACACTGACCAGATTCTCTTGTATGTGACAAGATTCTCTTGTATCTTATTGTTAGACTATTTAGTTTGACACATTCTTCCTTTATCATTGTTTATGCTATGGTTCTAGGATGCTAATACAACCAGATGACCAATACTATATTTTGACATCTTGATTGGAACTTTGGTATTCTCAGAACCCGTACTCAGAGTCACACCTCCATTTTATGTTCTTATCTCCATTTCTGCCATGACTCTTCTCCAAAAGACCACTCCGTTGGGCTTCCCTGGTGGCGCAGTGGTTGAGAGTCCGCCTGCCAATGCAGGGGACGCGGGTTCATGCCCCGGTCCGGGAGGATCCCACGTGCTGCAGAGCGGCTGGGCCCATGAGCCATGACCGCTGAGCCTGCGGGTCCGGAGCCTGTGCTCCGCAGCGGGAGAGGCCGCAGCAGTGAGAGGTCTGCGTACAGAAAAAAAAAAAAAAAAAAAAGACCACTCCCCGGTTCCCATGCTTTGAGTTCTCTGCGTCTTCAAATATGTTGCTCAGTCATTTATAATGCACACATTTCCATTTGTTATAATTCCTTTAAGAATCCGTCTCAAATGTCACCCTTTCTGGAAAACTTGATGCAAATAAGAATAACAGTTAATGTATCTTAGGTAAAAACTAGGTCAGACATTAATGCTTATAATAGTTCATAGAACTTAATTCTTCTAAGTCTATAAGGTGAATATTATTATATCCATTTTAAAGATAAAGAAACAGACTCAAAGTGACTCATTTCCTAAAGTAAGTCTGGTTACTAAGAGCAAAGCCAGGTTGCAAACCTATGTTGGTTCCAACATGAATCCTTTGTTCTTCATTGTGTTGTGATGCTAAAATGCTCTGTGCTTGTGACTCCTTAAGTTTAAACTCAGTCATTCCTTCATGAACCATCTCAAGGTCACTTCCTGCACACACCTTTCTTAATTCCCCCATATAGATCACCCCTAGATTTGAAATGTGCTCTTCTCTTATTTGCTCTACTGCTGAGAACCTTTGTCATTTCTATTCTTGTATTATTTTCTCTTATTCTCTGTATTCCCTGGTGGGCTGTTTGCAACCTCCCTGATGACTGGGGCCAGGTCTCATCAGCTCTGTCTTGTTCATAGGACCCCACATTCTGCCCAGTAAATGTCTGATAAATAAATAAGAATGATCAACACTTCTCTGAATGGATTTTTAAAGAGCCTGACATAAGAATGATTCTGCTTATATTAGGGGAGTGTAAGGAAAGATGACTTAAGTCATGCTTTAGTTACCTTTAATCCCCTATTTGAGTTCCTATCTTTGATGTTAAGTTCCAAAATGATTAAGAGTGTATTACTGACCTCAGACACCATTCAGGCTCTACGTCAATGCTCACCCACTGGGAATATCAACCTTCCGAAGGTTAAAGCTAATGTTTAAGGGAGGAGCATCAAAAGTGGGTGATGTCAGAAGACTTAGGCCTTGGGGACCTGCAGAAAACAACCCACCCTTTTCTTCACGCAGTGACGTTACTACTTGCTAATCATCAACAACTGGCCTCTGTGGTAGAATTTCTTCTCTGTATTCACACAGTCCATAAAGGCAGAACCATCAATGGACTTTTCCTTTACTAAGCACCATCAATTTCCATGAAAATCTTTAGCTTTGGGGACAAAATTATTGCAGCCTGAAAAATGGGGAGATGGGGTTATGCTGCAATTTCTTTTTATTTTTTTGCTTGAGGCAAGATAGAGAAAACAACATACCTCCATATGTTATTTCAAAAACCATTTGATACTCCATTTGATATATAATATATATATGCAATAATTCAATCATTTCTATAATTCTTTTTATGTATGCACAGTAACTTACAAGATGTTCCCAAACTGTGTCCAAATAAGAGAAGACCCAGATGAAAGTGACTCAAACACTGAAGCAATTGTGATCTCACATAGTAACATGGTCAATACAGAGGATCAGTTAATTCAGCGATTCAACAAAATCATGAAAGACCCAGGTTCCTAACATCTCTTTGCTCTGCCATTCTCAGCATGGTAGATTTGGTTCTCAGGCTTGCCCACCCCAGATCACAAAGTAAATGCTGCAACTCCCAGTTTCATCTCATCGTACAACCAAGTCAGAAAGGAAGAAGGGAAGAAGAGTGTGGTGTTGCACAGCTGATCTTAGTGGAGCAATCTGCCTAGTTAATTCCAATAACAAATAAGACTCTAGCATGCTAACAGTTACATAACTGCCGAGCATTTGGCGTCCTCCAACTTCTTAGAGGGACAAGTGGCCTTCAGCCACCCGAGACTGAGCAATAACAGGTCTGTGATTACCTTAGATGTCCATGGCTACACGCACGCTACACTGACTGGTCCAGCATAGGCTTACCCAAGGCAGCAGGCACAGGGAACCTTCCTGAAGTTCATTTGTGTTTTTGTGTGTGTGTGTGTGTGTGTGTTTTTTTTTTTTTTTTTTTTGCGGTACGCGGGCCTCTCACTGTCGCGGCCTCTCCGGTTGCGGAGCACAGGCTCCGGACGCGCAGGCCCAGCGGCCATGGCTCACGGGCCCAGCTGCTCCGCGGCACGTGGGATCCTCCCGGACCGGGGCACGAACCCGAGTCCCCTGCATCGGCAGGCGGACTCCCAACCACTGAGCCACCAGGGAAGCCCCATTTGTGTTTTTACAACATATCAGTTTAATATGACTGCTAGGGTTGGTCAAATGGGGTTATCCCCAATTTTTCTGATGTGGCTAGCCACAAAAATTATGTAACTTAGTTTTACCCTCTAGTCCATCCCCACTTCAATTTAGACATTATTACCTTTCCTTTTAATAACTATAGTAAAAGTAATCTTATTTAAGGGGATAGTGCCAGCTAAATAGTGTGCTCTGAAGACATCAGATTCCATAAACACCTATTAAACACCTATTACGGTCCAAGGATGTCTCCATATATGTTGTTACACTTCAACTACAAAAATGTCCACACAGAGGAAGATATTGATACTACCAGTATCACCAATATTGATATTGATTTTACAGAAGACTATAATTCATAGGTAGTTACATTAATTCTTCAAGACGACCCAGCTAGCAAATGGTAGAAATGAAATACAAATACAGGTTGTTTGGCTCTAAATCCAGTATACATTTCACAATGCTACTCTACGGGCTTAGAAAATCAATTAAATTAAATGAAAACAGATCCAACTGATAATACTACTTTTAAAGATGTGATGGGTGAGAATAAATAATACTAAAGAGTTTAGGCAAATATGTTCAGAGCTGGAAGGTATTTACTAGTGGTACTTGAAATAAGTTTGGGTGGAATCTTGAATTGTACTTCTGCTTCTGCGAAGATGGAGTCGATGCACCTTTTCCTATTCATCTCACAAAGTACAGCTACAAACCCTGGATATTATATGACAAGAAACATAAGGATATTCTGAAGTGTGGAGAGAAGATGACAACCTGACTAGGCATTTGACACTCAAGGAATGACATGATGATGAGCTCCCTGGGTTTTCTTCTTACCTCATGTATCCCACATTTGGAGCCAAAGAAGCTGGTACTATTGACTGAATGTTCTAAACAGAAAGAAAATAAAGAATAAACGTTGGAAGGAAGAAAAGACACAGTAAGCAAAACTATGTGTAAATACAACAGACTTTGCTTTTCCTCTTGAATTCTCTAATTTGTGTTTTCTAAATTATGCCAGTTGAAGCAAACAAAACACCATCTAATATGCTTCTAAATGTTATGTAGAGGAAATATTTAAGAAAATTATTTTACAAACAGGGGAGAATAAAGGGAAGTAAAGGGAGGTAAGCTATCTATACTGCACAAGAACTGGTAAAATGATGACACAAGTAGACTGTGGTTAGAAATCCATAACAATCACTAAAAAGTTACACTATTTGGAGTGTGAAATATACACCCAAAAGCACTACAGATAAATACTTTAAAAAGCACTACAGAAAATGAAATTTTAGAAAATGTTCAAATAACCTACAGGAAGACAGGAAAAAGAAAATAGAGACAAAAATAAGAACAAACTGAAAATAAAAATAATATTGAATTACAAAGTGAAAACATTATTCCCTTTTCAATTCCTTTCTAACTTCCTATCAAGTCGGGCAGAAATCCCAGTCTGGTGACAGAAATCTTTAGCCTTCCTGTAACATTGCTAACCTCTCCTTTTTAACCTAGGGAGAGCAGTTGCAGACTCAGAATCTTGGTTTGGTGAAACTATTTAGCCAGAACTCACTGTTTTAATTGACTTTATTTTTAAGATTACTTTCCTTTGTGGCAAATGATATAGGTTTTTATATACAGGTGTTATAAAATGTTCCTTTTTCAATAATTAGGGGAAAACGATGGATCAATCTCCGGGAAGATATTAAATACGTCATAGTTCACATATCCAAAAAGAGCAAATATCAGGAGAGAGTGACTGAAGTTTGTGGATTTATTTAACTAAAGTGGCAAAGCCATTTCCTATCACATACACATTAATAAAACATTTCTGTACCAAGTACTTATTATTTGTTTATATACTTTTAAGCCCATTATAATGTGAGCTTCTTAAAATGAGGGAATATGTCAATTTGTTTCTTTAGCACTTCGTATTATACTTGTCCCATAATTTTCTAAATAAATGTCTAGTGAATGACTGATTGAACAGCTCTAAAGGGAAGTATAGAAAAATAAGATCAAACTCAGCCTCTTTGTTACACTTTGCCTATGATGGGCCAAGAAAATAAAAGTTGTGAATAACTTATATACTTGAATTTTCTCTAGGTATGTACACTACCAAATGTAAAATAGATAGCTAGTGGGAAGCAGCCGCGTAGCACAGGGAGATCAGCTCGGTGCTTTGTGACCACCTAGAGGGGTGGGATAGGGAGGGTGGGAGGGAGACGCAAGAGGGAGGGGATATGGGGATATATGTATACGTATAACTGGCTCACTTTGTTATACACCAGAAACTAACACAACATTGTAAATCAATTATACTCCAATAAAGATCTTAAGAAAATAATAATAATATAATGAAAATAAAAAGGAGAAACATTTCCCAGTGAATCTCAAAAGATCATTACAGGAGATGAAAATTGCAGGCCAATCCCACTCTCACTCTCATGAACACAGGTGCAAAAACACTAAACAAAATATTAGAAAATCAAATCCAATGATATGCAAAATGGATAGTGCATCACAACATAATTTGGCTCATTGCATAAAGGCAATAGTGGTTTAACATTTGAAAATAAATCAGAATAAAGAGAAAAATACCACCACCTCAATGAATGCAAAAAAATGACAAAAACTGTAACCCACATTTAAAAAAACTCTTAGAAAACTCAGGATACAAGACAACATTCTTAGTCTGTTAAATGCTAGTCAGGAAAAAACCAGAAAACATTACATTTTATAGCAACATTTAATGATTTCTCACTGAGCCTGTGAGCAAGAGAATTGTTATCACTATTTGCATGCAACATTGTACTGGTGTGCATAGCCAATGGAATGGCACTTAGCACAAACCCTTAGAAGTAGTCAGTGCTCAACAAGTACTGAGAAAATGCTGAGTACTGCTGCTATTCCATATCACAAATGAGATAAATAGCTGATTTAATTTAGCTGTTGGAATAAAGTATATTAAGGTTGTTAGATTAGAAAACTGCTTTTGTTGATCCCTTTTACAATTAAAAATGTAATATATTACCTTTACAGTATAAATTTAAAGTCAAAATACTCTCAATTTTACAAGTTTAAATAAAAACTCTAAGTTAAAAAAAATTTTAATGATAGATATAAATCACATTAGTAAAGGCAAAAATGAAATCCTGTATAATAATATATAGACCATAGTCTGGAGGAAAAGCCATCTGTAAAACATTATCACTTAGATCACACTATCATTCAATCGATACTATTACTCCAGAGGAGGAGCTCAAGATGCCTTGGGAGTGGGAATTTTAGGATGGATTGGAGATTTGATTAAGCAGAACAGGACAAAATTCAGAGAAGAGGTAGGTAAAGGAAGCCTCAACTATTGGAAATCTATATCTAATACCTTTGCTTTAAGGAAGTGTGAATTTCAAATGACATGAATCTACCCAAGAATAATACGATAAAAGCCTTAATAATGACACTGTTCATAAACACTGAAAATTTTTAAGATGAAAATATATAAATTTTTAGTTAAAAACAAAGAATATATATTTGAAAAATATAGGAACAAACTTTTTTAGTTTTAGGGAAACTTCACCTATAATTCTATTCTCACCTACAATTGTTGATACCACTATTTCCTTCTGATATTTTTTAAAACATAGTCAGGATTACTGTGGCTTATTGTAAGTGGACAAAAAAGGGAGCTGACTTTGGTTGTAATTTCTTCCTTTTACTATAAGTTCACAGAGTGAAGAAAGAGGTACTATCTGGTATAAACCAAGAAAACTCTATAGGATAGACAGCAAAGGTAAGACAAAATCAAGTATAGTAAAGAAGAGTGCATCTGTTGAATGGAAATCAATGTTTTTTTGGATGAGATTAAATTTGCTTTTATTTCAGGTAGTTTTAATGTTTCAATATTTCAATCTCAAATATAACCTCCTCTAGAAAGCTCCATACCTCTCTTCTTCTCCCCTGTAGAATTTATTCACCTTCCTTTGCATTCTTACAGCATCCTAAACAGACTTCTATCATGAATTCTGTGATACTTCACCGTATTTTCTTGCCCTTCATGTATCAGCTTAAATGCTATTCCTCAGGGAAACTTCTCAGACACTTACCATGAGCTTAAGTCTTCAGCTCCTATAGCTCCCTAGACTTTGCTTTCATAGCAGTTACACTGGTGTATTTATTCACTTAATTATCTATTTTATACCCCTTCCCAATCAGCCTCTAAACTAGGGACAAGACTGTGTCATTACTTTTGATGGTTTTGTTCCTTTGAACTGAGCCCAGTGCCTGTCACATAGCACACATTTTAAAAATGTTTGAAGAGTAGAAGAAGGAAGAGTAGAAGGGAAGGAGGGAGGAAGGGAAAGAGGGAGGGAGGCTCTGAATGGAGTTTTCCACCAAAAGGATAGTTTGAGTGCTCTGGGGGTTGGGGGAAGCAAAGGGGACAAAAGTCTTACAAACTATTATATCTCTAAATGGAAAAAAACAAGCCAAATGAGTAACAAAGACAAGTACTTAGCTTATCAACAGTATAAAATAATCCTGTGCTCCTTCCCCATTCAAAAAAAACAAAGGAAGAAAAGAAATGCATCACAGCTACTTCATCGACAGTACATGCATACCTCCCCTGCTGACTTGAGCTGTTTTGCCCCCCACACATCTCAGTCTATCTTTGTGCAAGATGTCTGTTCTTTTCTTAGAATAGGTCATTTATGTTTACAAAAGTTGGCCATGCTTTTTATTTTATTTTACTTTTTAATTTAAATGTCTGGGAGCTAATCTGCTTATTTGCATGTCCCTGAGGATTGGGCTGTGGGCAGACTAGACTGAACAACAGCTGCTGGGATTTCTAAGCTCCAGAGGCAAAAAGGTAAGGCAGTCTGGGGAAGGAAGAAGTGTGGATTTCATTTACCTAGAGGAGACAACAGCAATATTAGTATTTCTTCTTGCTTGTAAAATGGAGGATACGAAGGTGATGAAAAAATGGTTTTGCCAGTCTATCTACAAATGGGTAATTGGGAGGCTGGTAGGAATTTTCAAACGTAATATAACAAAATCAAGGAACAAAAAAGTTCCTTTTCATGTGCACAGAGGCTCTGTTGATGCTGAAATACTTGTGGGATATTAGGAATGAAAAATGTCAGCATGCACACTGCCCAGGCTTGCCTGGTTTATGGCTCCCACCTCGTGGCCGTCATGACTGCCCAGTCAAAGAGCTTCTTTGTCCCCGGAGCATTGCCTTGCAAAGACAAGAAACATCCCCAAGCATCCTCTCACTTTGACATATAGGTCATGGCATTCAGAGAATAATGAAAGGGATTGCCCAAGTGCCAGTTCCTTGAATCGTCGGGACATGAAGCTATTTAGTACAGGTTCAGCTAAGCCTTTTTGCTCCTACGAATCTCCTTCCTGAATGGAAAGTCCCTTTTCAAGTGAAAAAGACCTGAGTTATTGAGTGGCTTGAAATGCAAGTCTTGTAAACAAATAAAAGGCCAAGAAGTGAGTGTGTGTGTTGGAGGGGGGGACAGGAGAGAGATACAGGAGACAGAAAGAGAGGGATGTGTCATTTGAAAGTCTTAACCAAAAATTTGTAATAGTGATGTGTGTGTGTGTGTGTGTGTGTATTTTGAAATCCACAAGAGGAATGCCAATCCTTTAATTCAGAGCTGAAATGATACGGACCTTGAAATGAGCACACTTCCTGATGTTTTGGTAGACTGAGAAACTTGGTTTAAAGAGAAAGACAAGATTGACATGGGTATTCTGCCCTCTGCCAGAAATCTCCCTGCATCTCCAGCCTCAAGTCAGATCCTAGAGAGGAAAGATGAGTTTCTGGCACAGCTCTGGAATGCAGAGGTCTAGTTCTTAGAGGTAAGGGTACTGTAAACACAGCTTT